GGCGAGCCCGCGTGCACGCACCTACCTGACCGTCGCCTCCGCATCCAGAGCGTGGGAGAAGAGGGCCGGGTACGCCACCGCGACAGCCCCGCAAGGCAGCCAACGATCCCACCAGAAGGAGCATGTGTTCCCGTCCCCGACGTCGACAACGGAGATGGCGCGGTAGAGAGGGAGCAACTTCACAACCGCGGCCCGGTGCTCACCAAGGGCCAGTTCGCCGCGAGCAAGGAGGGAGCGTCCACCAGCCCCGCCCCAAATCCAGGCTGCCCACCGAGAGCCGGGGGTCGTGTGAAGGCGATGCAGCATCTTGAGCAGCAGGCACAAGTTTTGAGTTGCCAGGTCGCGGTTTTCCAGCCCGCCTTCGCTCTTCGCCCGGCAAACGCGCTCCCAAGCAACAAGGCATTGGGCGCCCGATGCTCGTTCGGCGACGTTCCATAGGAAGGCGCGGCGCAGCCCGTCCAACGCACGCACCACGGCAGGCGGCAGCAGTAACGCAGCCATTGCATATGTAGGGAGCGCGTCCAGGACGGCGTCAATGAGCACCAGACGCCCCGCGGGGGAGAGAAGGCGAGCCGCCCAGCCGGCGAGATATCTGTCCACCTTCGCAATCAGCGGAAGGAAATCCGCGAATCGCAGCTTCTCCCATGAGAGAGGGAGGCCGAGGTACGTCTGCGGGAACGACCTAAACACTTTTATATATTTTTATAGAGAGTACAAACTTCTTCGGCGGTGGCCCAAGAGTCAAACCCATAGAAAATCCCGATGGCAGCGGGAACAAGGGAGCCCACAAAAAATCACCCCTCCCCTCCCGTGTCGCCCCCCACGGTGGCCCGGGAGCCAAACCCAAGCCATCGGGTGGTGCTCCCTTCTTCGGCCTACCTCCCGTCGCCGCCGCTGCCGGCGGTGAGGTCGGTTCACTTCGTCTTGCTCAGGTCGTGCGGTACGAGTGTCGTGGGATTCGGCGGGTGCTCGCTGCTTGGCTCACGCTCGCGACAGTGTTGCGCGTGGTGACCTGGTGGCGTGGGAGCAGCCAACCGGATTGGCACTGAGTTGGGAGAGCATGGGAGGTCATGGTCGACGAAGCGTGAGCTGGGCGTGGCGGAGGCGCGGGTAGCAAGCCGGCACGACGGTGTTCAGCACGTCGGAGGCGTGTAGAAGCGTTGGGCTCTGTCGACGACGGCTACTCTCCGTAGATGTGTGGATCTTCTCTCGTGCTAGGGACAGGGCAGGACCATTCTTGTGTGCATCTTCTCTTCTTCTATGTTACCGGTACACCTCTTCATGCTATATTCATGAAAACATGGTACAAACTTGAGTTATAAGATAGCTGGTTTAAACGGATCCACTCTAATCTATACAAGTGGATAGTCCCTCCGCCCAGAGATGTACAGTATCTAACACTATTTTTAATGCTAAATACATACATTTGAGCGACATGTAATTTGGGACGAAGGGAGTACAATATTGCAGTCACAACTGCTAACTAACTTTGGTTCTCTAAGAAGATATGGGCTTGTACGGTGGTCGATAAGACAACCTTACCATAACCTTGCCACATAATTTAAAGATGTCACTAAAAATACATGTAGAATAAGTTATCTGTTAGTATTATTTTTAATAACTAAATATACCTAAATATGGGTTAGAGATACCATGCTAAGAGATCATCTTATTATCGTGGTGAATTAGAAGTGATTTTTTAAATCCATACAAAGAACAGGATAAACATATTTCAACAGAAAAAAATAACTAAACGTTTTTCTAAAATATCTCCTAGAACCCAACCAACTGAAGTCTTCAAAAAGTCTAATAAGAATGGTTTGGTGAATCCATCGGCTACCTGAACTCAAGAGATGGTGAAAAAAAGAAAATCCAAAGCCGCGTGTATAACTATTTTATATTACAAAGTGTGGTTACTGCACGAAATATATGATTGGTTGGTAAGTAGGTGGCTCTCAAATTATCAAAACACAAACATGCTACTGCCTCCGTTTATGTTCTTAAGTCATTTCAGACAACTCAAAATAGGTTGTTTTGCACATTGTTTGAAATGTCTTCAAGATCTTATAAAAATGAACAGAGGAAGTATTCCTTTTCTCCATACATGTCAAGCTCCGTGAGAAGATTGTGCCCCTATTTCCTCTCACGCGGATGGGAGTTACTTTTCTTTATCACCGTAAGCGTTACAAAATGGACCCGCATTCCCCTTTGCTTTTCTTTTGCAACTAAGCTTAAAAGAAACATAGTAGTCTTTCAAGAATAACATTAGGCATAGCCTTATATTTTTTTTAGAAAAGGAGGATATACCCCCGGCCTCTGCATCTGAATGATGTATGCGGCTACTTTATTAATTATTCACAGAGACCTTACAAAGTAATGCATCAATAAGTCTAAAACCACCATCTTGTTGCTACTTCTATCCATTTGATGAAGGGGTGCTGAATGTCTGAGCCGAATACCAAACAGACATCACACCAAAGCATAACATCTAAAGCCGGATGCCCCAGCCAAGCCACAA